TTTCCTGACATCACATGTACTAAACCCACCAATAATAGCTCTTTCCTGACATCACATGTACTAAACCCACCAATAATAGCTCTTTCCTGACATCACATGTACTAAACCCACCAATCCTAGCTCTTTCCTGACATCACATGTACTAAACCCACCAATCCTAGCTCTTTCCTGACATCACATGTACAAAACCCACCAATAATAGCTCTTTGCTGACATCACATGTACTAAACCCACCAATCCTAGCTCTTTCCTGACATCACGTGACTAAATGTTCCTGATATCCTTTGTGATTTCATGTCATTTGTTGTTGTTTGGACAATCAAATTCAGAGCTCCACACTGCCGAGACTATACATTCTGTAGAAAAATGGAAAGAAAATGCAAACTCTGGTTGTATTCTCAACCTTCACAATTAATAACAACAGTCTCTTAAGCATGAATAAAAGTAAAAACCGTGGCTATACTTTTTTTTTTTTTTTTTTTGGCATGCCATCTAGTGACAAAGTTCCATTACATCAAAGATGTGCCATTCCATTTTAAATCTTGATCTCCCTCTTATATTGCTTATTTTCAATCTCTGCTTCAAACCAGATACTGTACATGTGTATTTGGATTATTTATATGTCAATGGATTAGTGGATGTATAGTGGAACAGCTGACTGACTTCTTAATTGGTTAATTTCAGGTTTCCGCATCAGAACTGACGTAAATATGCCGCTAATCGAAGGGATCGGAGATGAAGTCACGCTATCAGCTGTAGTGTTGACGTTTGTTTTAACATTAGTATTAGCGTGGTGGACAACATTTGTAGGGGATCGCCCACTACATGTACATATCATTAGACCGCAGAGCACGCGCCACCAGCAACGATCAAATAGAATACAAAATCAGAGAACTCAACCAGAAGAAACACCACAGGTCGTGTCACCGGCAGATGTGAGTAATAGGACTAACGAGAGTAGTAGAGAATCCGAACATGAGACTGCTGGGAACAGCACGGATGCTGGAAATGATGAGGAGGAGGAAGAGGGGGAGGGGTTTGTATTAAGGCAAAGGAGGACTGGATCTGAGGGGAGCAGGGAAGTTTTACAGAATGTAGCCAATATTGAGAATAGTGAAGCAGATGCAAGTACAGTTGGAAATACGGAGACAAGTGAAGTCACAGAACCGACGATGAGACAGAGAAAACGATGTATGGATTCTATAAATATAGAAAATTTACAGATGGCCAAACATAATGACCATGAAGAGAGCAATTCGAGTGATGTTCATGAGGACGGTTACTTGCAAAGTAATGTGCGAGAGGATAGGACAGTTGGTGCGGTTGTCACCGAACAGGAGCAGGTGGAACGTGAAACTGAGAACGGGACAAGTGTGCTGCAGGCAGCATGCGAGACAACACCGGAAATGTCAGAACGATTTGCTAGTAGCGAAACTGTGCAAGAGAGATCCAAAGCTGTGGCTAAGACTGAAACGGGGCAGGAGAGACCACAATGTGAAACAGACCGTATAAGTTCAGAGGAAGCAGGACGTAATGACGCAGAGCAGGTTGAATCTGATGCGGCACAAAGTGAATCTGTCGATCGCTCAGACATACCAGATGGACATATTACCATACGATTAAAATTTCTCAGTGAAAATGAACGTTCAGTAACAGCAGGACTGCAGATTACACTGGGGCAGTTTAGAAGGTAGGGTTCACAAGTTAGTATACTGAAGTAAACAAAGCCGTATTTATACATATCGTATTCATCGGGGTCCTGAAAATTGAAAATTGCCAAGAAATAGGGGTGGCCGTTTGCCAAGATATCCCCTGCAAAAAAAATACGCGAAAATTGACAACATGCAGATCGAACTGCGGCAGAAAAAAGAACAGCAAATGAAAACATGCAACAGAAATAAATGAACAATATGCAACATTATAAATAACATAACAAAAATAATTTATTGCTTATAATGTGACAAATAAACCAGAAATAATAAAAATCGACAGTGAGGAATTAGGATTTCCCTGCCGACAAACACGTCCAATACGCGTGAACTCAAAATGAACTAAAATGCGTAAAATTATTTCAGGTCTTGACAAATTGCAGATCAACTGTCATACAAGATCAATACAAATTTACACAGTAAAAATTATAAAAATTCATAGCTGTTTGAAAAAAAACTTTTCAAATCTGTATTTGTACGTTCATTGCCATCTTCGTCAAACTCAAAACCTTCAAAGTCCAAGTCGGTGTCACTGTAGCCGTCGAACCAAATCCCTACAGCTTCGTCCTGAAGTTCGTCGATATCGTCCCACACAATTTGGACTTAGCACTTTTAATCCACAGATTTCGCAGTCTGTCAGCTTGGCATTTTTCATTCATGTCTAATCACAATAAAGAGACAAGAAAAATGGGATTGCTCTGCTGCGATGGCACACACTTTTGTTTACCGTCTGGCAATCATCTTTGACCTTTATGCATCTGCTTTACTGAATGGCTAAGAATGACAACACTAATAGTATTTCATCATAAAGGTCAAATCGTGACATTGCTTTCTTATCAGACTCAATGCTTACCAAATCATGGTGAAAGTTATCATTCAGAAAGTTCCGGTGGTTGGAATGTCTTACTTACTTTATGGATATCGCGGTTGGCTTGAAATAGGAAGTTTTTTTTTATCCAACGACAGAAGAATAGTTTTCATGACAGAAATGCAATAGCAGTGATGAGAGATGGCAAAAAAGTTGGCAGTCTTTGGTGTGACAGTGCAAAATTGCTTGCCCCAGTTATGGATTCGTAAGCTGCTACCAAATAGAC